AGTATATTAATTGGTAATCTATAAGTTAACTAGAAAGTAATTATAGTAAAACATAATGCAAATTATTTATAGAAATTGAAGTTTTGCAAATGTAGTATATATATATTTAAAATTTTTTTATACAAAGTTAACTACTTTTTTATTTAAAAAATTTTTGTAGAGCTTGTTGAGATATATCTAATAGTGGTTAAATTATCTAAATTAGCCTAGTAGATGCTAAGATATCTTTAAAAAATCTAGTGCTTGATATAATCTAAAGTATGGTATTATAAATAGCTAATTACGACAATTATATTTACTATATATATTTTTATACAAACTTTTTAAAACTTTAATTGTAGTAAATATTATCATGTGTAGTAATTATTACTACATGTCGTAATTATTACTATATGTCATAATATATAATAATAATTATTACATGTTGTAATTATTATAACATATAGGGGGTCCCATAGCAAAAGGTGGCGATACGCCCAACCAATCAAATTTGAGATTTTATAATAGTTATTTTCTTAAGGATCTAAACTTTTATAAAAGTAATTTTTTTTATTATAATAAGTTAGTAAAAAAATGTACAAATTTGGATTTTTATTTGCGTATATATTTTGTTAAAGAATCGATCTACATACATACGTTCGTACGTCTATGTATGATTTACCATTACACCATTTCGACATCTGATATTGCACATATTTCTACGTAGTAGCAGAATAGCCAGGCTACTTACGGTTGTAAATTCTTGTACAAACCTGTTAAATGCATAGGTTAATTGATGCATAAGTATCATTATGCAGGTAGCGAAAGCTGATACCGATACTGTACGTAACATGCGCATGTACTGTAAAATATAGCAATAATGAAATAATTTTTTCACACCTTGCTTTTAGTTTTAACAATAAGAATGGAATACAATTTATGTTTTAGCGATCAAAAAACAAATGAAGTCATTTTGACTGCTTTAAAAGATTTGGAAAATACGTTTTTTATCAAGCATTCAGATTCTGAAGAGAGTTTTGAATTAGATAATAACAATAATGAAGAAATTCTTGATATTAACGATGATATTAACTTAGATAAGTTAAATAAATTTGAATTTGTAGAAGTTCCCGAAAACTATATTGAAGATAAAGTGTATGATGATCTGAAAGTTACAATTAAAAAATTTTTTGAAAAAAAAAAATGTTCATGTCATTCTGAACAAACCTGCTTTAATCAAATCGGTTATGAACGGTTTCTTGCACATTGTGCTGAATTTGAAAGTTTGAATAAAAATATGCGAGATATGGTTATTAAAGGACAGCTCATAGCTTTTCAAAAAAGTGAAAATAAAAAATATTCGCGTTTTCGTTATTGTTATAATAATAGCATTCAAGTTTGCCGTGATACATATTTGGCTCTTGTAGGAGTTAGTCATAAATATTCAGAATCTATTATAAAACATTTACGAGAACATGGTCTCGAAGAATGTATATATGGGAATATAGGTAGAGCTCCAAAAAATATGAAGCGCATTGAAGTAAATTATAATGTAGCATGTGATATATTTAAGTTTTTAAAGAGCTATTCAGATATACATAGTATGCCCTCATCTGGACGACATTTTAAAGAAATCTCTATGCCAATTGTATTTCTTCCTACTAGTTACAACTATGCTTCAGTATACTATGATTATGTGCAGGCTTTTAAAGATGAGTATGAAAATAATATTCGTATTATTGCTGAATTAACTTTTACTAATGTCTGGAAAGCTTTGATACCGTTGCTTCAATTTATATCTCCAAAGTCTGATTTGTGTGAAACTTGTGAGATGATGAAAATGGATATTCAATATGCAACTCAACATGAAAAAAAATTGGAACTAACTGAAAATTATTTGGCACATTTAAGTCGTGCACAGAAGGAATATGACTACTATAATAATAATATTGTAAAGGCAGTTGAAGATGGTAAACACAACGAAATTACAATTGAATCTCAAGTACCATTCAAAACGTTTGAAGGAATTGCTCATATCGCATATGACTGGGCCCAAAATGTAAAAATACCTTATTTGCCGCAGCAAGTAGGAGCATTATATTTCAAAAGTTCTCGAAAAGTACACTTATTCGGTGTTTGTAATACAGGTAACTTTCCTAATGTACAACAAACTAATTATATAATTGACGAAGCCGAAATGTCTGATGATGGTAAGCAAGGAAAAGATGTAAATTGCACTCTAAGCTTGGTTTGGCATGCAATTCATAAGTATAATCGTAGGGAAAAAAAATTAGTTGTCACGTGCGATAACTGTATCGGTCAAAATAAGAACAATTATTCGTTATTTTTTTATTCATGGTTAATTGACTATGGTATATATAATAAAATTGAATTAAACTTTATGATACCTGGACATACCAAATTCATCTGCGATGGCTGTTTTGGTTTAATTAAAATTCTTTACCGAAAAAGTAAAGTGAATACCGTAGATGATATAGTATCAATTGTTAATCGTTTTACAACAGTTAATCTTAATATTGTATAGCATTATTTAAATAGAGAAGGGTTTCATTATTATGATTTTAAAATTTACTTTCAAGCATTTAAAAAGTTACTTAACATTCAAAAATATCATCACTTTTACTTTACTTCGGAATATCTGGGAGTTGTTTTTTACAAAGACAGTCTTGAAGATAATTACAAAACTTTTACAATGTGTTCATTTTCTTTTGATTCAAATGTTTTACTTTCTACAATCAATACTAAGCCATTTTCTATTAAGAGGCAAGAAAAGTTGTATAAAGAAATTGCACCCTATGTTGATTTACCTTTTCGCAATATTACTTGCCCAAAGCCAGAAGAATTAAAAACAAGTTAGTTAAAAATTTTGTTTTTATTAGTTCTAAAATTTTATTAAGTTAATTATATACTAACTATATTTATTAGAATGAACATAAAAAAAAAATTAGGCTAGTACGATTATTGAAGTGAGATTTGGATATAAAATACTGATGGGTTAAAAAAATGCTGTGCCACAAAAAATACTGTGCTACAAAAAAATACCATATCACAAAAATTTTTTTATATAAAGTAAAAACTTGTTTCATAAGTAATTAAGCCAACAAGGCTAAGATTAGTAGTGTTAAATAGTTTTTTAAGAGAATTACATTAAGAAAATTTTTTTAAAAAAAATAAATATCTTGAGGTTTCGCTACTAGAATTTTATGCCTCACATGATAATTTTAAACTAGACGATAATTAAAAACATTAAAATTATGTTGTATTAAAATTATGTATTTATTTATATTTCTGTATCGTAGGAATAAATAAAATATACTAAAAGTAGACTAATACTTTAAAGAAAGTTTTTGTAAGATTTTATTCTAGGTTATAAGTATCGTTTTCTCAAAAATTTGAAAAATTTTATCATGATTATCATTACCACGTGATAATTTTAAATTGTGATTTTCTCACAATCATGTGATCTTCGTATCACCACCTTTTGCTGTGGGACCCCCCATATATAGTAGGGGATTAATTTTTATACTCCCCACATTTAATATTCATACCCCCAGCAAAAATAGCAATTTTTAAATCTTTGAACGAAGATATTTTGATAACAATTTGACTAAATTTGATGAACTTTTTTTATTTAAATTCTGTGGATCCATAAAATTCAAACAAAAAAAAGTTTATAAATTTGGTCAGGTTGTTGTCAAGATATCTGCATTCAAAGTTTTAAAAAAATTTGGCACAGCTTTTGTTTTAATAGATGTTTTTGATTTTTCTTTAACTTTGAGTGAAGATATCTTGATATTTACTTGACCAAATTCGATAAACGGTTTTTTTTTTTTTTTTAATTCTATGAATTCGTAGAATTCAAATAAAAAAAAAGTTCATCAAATTTGGTCAAGTAGTTATCAAGATATCTTCATTCAAAATTATAAAAAATTTGGCATAGCTTTTGTTTTAATAGACGTTTTTGATTTTTCTTTAACTTTGAGTGAAGATATCTTGACTTCTACCTGACCAAATTTGATGAACTTTTTTTTATTTAAATTTTATGGATCTATAGAATTTAAATAAAAAAAAAGTTCATCGAATTTGGTCAGGTTGTTGTTAAAATATCTTCATTCAAAGTTTTAAAAATTGTGGCAGATCATAATGAAATCGGATTAAAATGAAACTGGAGACCTTTCTTGCTCATCTTTAAAGCTTATAAAACCCACTTATACTCTTTTATTAATAAAA